TAATAATTCCTCTAATTAATAAAATTTACAAAAATATAATCACCCCAAAACCCCAAAACCCCAAAACCCCGTATCTTTAAATATCTTGAGATTTAGAGATTCATTGAAAATAAATATAATTAGCTAAAACCTTAGGCTAATTTTCTTTCTAATATCCCGATAATTAAATGATTTTCTTCATTGAGAACGAGATTCAATTTCATTACAAAAGCCTAGAAGGTTCTTCAACCCAGGCTTGAATTTTCCTATTTTAGCTTTGTATATAACTTTATGGTGCTTCTGCTGGTTTTATACTTATTATAGTTTCTCATTAGGTATATCATCAATTATGTTCATTTACTTTTTATATTTCATTAATCTTACTTTTCCATTTTACGTTGTAGTGAGAGGCGTATGTGGTTGCAAAATTTTATCATTTTTAGGTTAGATTTTCTTCTCATTTTTAATCTTTGTAATTTTATTTTAAGCCTTTTCTAATTTATTTTATTGTTTTCCAACTTATATTATCTCTTAATCCAATTCTTTTTTAACTTCTTCATCTATTAAGCCTTATTTATCTTTGATATTTTGTTAGTTTTATCCACCTTAAATCTAATAAGGCAATCTAAATGAGTCTTTAATCTATATGAGGAGTTTTTAATCCAGTAATTCGAAAATAGCATTTATTAAGTCATTATTATGACCTAAATGGATATTTTCATCAATTAAATTTTAGGCAATTTACTTTAGTTTCAAATTTTTAATAGTATTATTCTAACTATCGAATAGACCCAGTATTCTTTGAATTAGTTAGTTCTCTTTTTGATTGATTTAGTTGCTATGATGCTGGCTTTAGAGTTGAGATTGATTAAAAATTTTTACCATTTTGAGTTAATTAATAATTATTAAGCTTAATTAATTCTCAGATTTATCAAAATGCTAAAATGAAAAACAGTGCGCCTGCATAGTGTAACAAAAGCCCATTATCTAATTGGGACTGATAAACATTCTAATAAGTTACATCATCTTATAGTATCATTGCATAGGTAGTTAAAGATCTGAATAATATTGAGTTAAATAGACAGCCAAAGGCCAGAATGTGAAATATTCTATGTCTTATCGCCACATCATTCAGTCCCATAAAGCACAACATTAATGCATTATCTCTTTGGTTTCTCATAGCCTCTGTTATGAATTCTTTTTCTCTTGAGTTTAATTTCTTTTATTTGGTCGGACATTCCTATGTTTTAGGATCTAGAACTGTGAAATAATTTGCCATGTAAAAAGTTAGATTTAATGTTCCACTCACCCAACAAAGTCTTTGTATGATTCCCATTGAATTAATCACAAAATAGGCTTATGATTAATTTTGAGTTCATTTAGTTTAAATTCATTCAATGTCCTTAAAATTGAGAGATGGGGTTTTGGGGTTTTGGGGTTTTGGGGTTTTGGGGTTTTG